ATCGAAACAACATTGAGATACCACCTCACCCCAGTTAGAATGGCTATAATCAAGAACTCTAATAACAACAGATGTTGGAAGGAATGTGGACAGAAGGGAACCCTACTCATTGTTGGTGGGAGTGTAAACTTGTTCAACCACTTTGGGAAGCAGTATGGAGGTTCCTCAAAAGACTCCACATAGAGCTCCCCTATGACCCAGCAATCCCACACTTAAGTATTTACCCAAACAATCACAAACAAGGCCATACTAAAGCTACCAGCACAACTATGCTTATCGCAGCATTATTCACCATAGCTAAGATATGGAACCAACCCAGATGCCCCTCAGTAGATGAATGGATCAAGAAAATGTGGCATGTGTGTGTGTGTGCACGTGCGCGCACAATGGAATTCTATGCCTCCAACAGAAAGAATGACACTGCCCAATTTGTTAGGAAATGGAAAGACTTGGAAAAAATTATATTAAGTGAAGTAAGCCAGACTCAAAGAAACATAAGTCCCATGGTTTCCCTTATCTGCAATAACTAGTATATGTCTAGGACAAGCAGAAGTCAAAAGCTATGTATATATGACCATATCACCTGATGCTAAGCGAAATGAACCCCAAGATAGGGACACAAGAGATTTTTATCTTTCTTGTTCTTTTTAATGTACCCATAATTTACTATGTGATGTTTTTTGTTTCTTTGTATTGTTGTAAGGTAAATCATCCCAGAAGCCACATTTTAAAATATCTATATTGGAGTCTTTATTATACAGTTAACAGGCTGCAGGCTGCCAGTTGTTACAAAGGCCTGAAGCACACAAATGCACATAACACCGCTAGGAAACATGCTAAAGAGGAAAGAAATAACAAAAACAATACCAACAAGCCAGTTCAGCTCCAATGGAGAGCTGAATTGGGATGCCATGATGACTGGAGATGAGCAAGGAGACAGGACACAGGACATGATCACAGAGACATACGTGGCATGGAGTACCAGGCTAGGCTGGTCCAGTCCTCAATAGGTCAGTGCAGGAGGAAGATCCTCAGGAAATTCCCAGTCCCAGGCACTAGACTGACAGAGTCAGTAACCTATCAGCCAAGTGCCTGCCCCTGCCTCCAGGGGTCTGGGCACACCCATTACCTGGGAGGCAGCATGAAGACAAAATGCCAGACCCTACCATCCACCATGAGACCAATGCTGGCCAGACCTGGCTTCCTTACTTCAGTATGTTCTTCCCCACGGTACAACCCCTGATGTCACTGTATTTGATGTCGGTGTCCTGCATCATATCTTGTATATACGTTTTTCTAATTTGGGGAGAGGAAAGGAAGTAACAAAATGCTGAAATAAGGATACAGGATGACCCATTGTAACAATGAAATGTGTAAGACACTATGTTGAAAACGAACTTTACAACTTTGTGGGAGGAGAGGAGGGAGGAGTTGAGGAGGTGGGGAGGAAAAGGATGGTAGGGGAAAAACAAAGGAGGGGGTAACAATGCTCCATAAGAAATGGACTCATTACGTTGTTCATGTAACTGTAACTCCTCTGTAGAGTATCTTTACAATAAAAACACATATTTAAATTTTTTTTAAAGAAAAAGGTCTCTTGAATTTTCTTGCCTGGGCAGACCTTGTACCACAATCCTCATGTTCTCAGCTTTCCATGTAGATAGTATTGCAGGTATAATCTATTTGTGTACAGCTCAACAGAATATCTTAAAGATTTTTCCGTATCATCTATTGGCATATACACTTGTGTGTGTGTGTGTGTGTGTGTGCATTACTACTGAATTACACCTCCAGTTATGAATTAATGTTAGTATTTTAACTTATTAATTAGTTCCTTGATGTTCTACATTAGGTAGCTTCCAGGAACATAGGTCAGTGGTAAACACATGCATAGCATATGTGAGACTCTGGATTCCATCCCCAGCATCCAAAAATATCTCAGTTAATAGCCCTGTGTGTGTGTGTGTGTGTGTCTGTGTGTGTCTGTGTGTGTGTGTTTATCTGTGTATAAATTGTAAAAATTCTTATAGGTGGAATTACCAGATCAAAAGAAATTTTTTTTTTAATTCTTAAACTGTCCATAGAAATCACAAGGTGTACAACTCTGGGATTCTATTTACCATCACTTATCCAATGCCTGTCCTTAATTTCCCTTGCCAGATAAGAAGTCTATGAGGTTTTATTTTTGTCTATAAAGCAAGAACTGATATCTCATAGTTGTTTGGATTTATGTTTCCTTAATTGAGTAAAGTTGAGAATCTTCTTGTATTTGGTAGTTTATATTGTCTGAAAACTATATAATTCTTTGTTCATTTTTCTACCAGATTGCTCATCTTTCTATTGATTTGTAAAGTTTCTCTGTATATTAAATAAGATGATACAAATTGTGCTGAAAATATTTTTCAAAATTTTCAGTACTAAGGTTTGAACTTGGGGCCTTGTGCTTACTAGACATGATTTTTACCACTTGAACCACACCTCCAGACAAGCCCCATGACAATCTTATCCACACAGCTTCTATGATATTGTACAACCTCTGAGTTGATGTCTGACTCTTCAACCTATCACTCTGGCCTAGTCCTATGTCCTAGTTCCAATTCTAATTGCTGACTTTCTATCTTCATCAATGTGAAGCTAAATTCTGGAGACCTGGAACTGAATCTTTCTTCACACATTCTATTCCTCTTATGTTCACCTTAGGCTAACAATTTCCAACTTTACCCAGAATTTTCTTAAGAAATCTATACAACCCACTTCTTTGCTACCTTATATCCAACTGACCAAAAGCCCCAGAGTATTTTCCCAACTGACCACAGTGCCCTCAAAGTAACTATTAGCAATGTTGCAGAGTGGCTAAAGAGCAAGCTCACTAATATCACAGACATTAGGTTTGTATCCTGGTCCTTATCTTTTGAAGTGATGCAATTTAGGACATTTCCCTACTTACAACCTGTTCCCTGCCAAGTGCACGTGACTCATGCCTATAACCCTAGCTATTCAGGAGACTGAGATCTGAGGATATTAGTTCAAAGCTAACCCAAGCAAGAAAGTCCCTGAGACACTTATATCCAACAAACCACAAGAAAACTGGAAGTGGTGGTGTGGCTCAGTGGTAGAGCACTAACGTTAAGCAAAAGAGCTCAGGGTCAATGCCGAGGCCCTGAGTTCAAGCCCCACAACCAACAACAAAAAATATTTCTCCCTCCTCTACACAAAAGGACTACAATCCAGGCACCCATGGCTCCTACCTGTAATCTTAGCTACTCAGGAGGAATGTTTGTGAGACAACTTATCTTCAATTAACCACCAAAATGCTGGAAGTAAAGTAGTGGCTCAAGTAGTAGAGCTCTAGCCTTGAGCAAAACAGCCCAGGGACAGTACTCAAGCCCTGAGTTCAAGCCCCATAACTGACCAAATTTTAAAAAAACCAACTATGATATCTACTTCATAAGGTTAGTAAAAGATTAAGTAAGATTTAAGGAGACTATCTGTGTAATTACTTAATAAATGATAGGCATGATCTCTCTAATACAGCTTAACCATGCTCCTAAAAAATGAAATGACCATCACCCAGCTTGGAATCTTTGTGATTTCTGACCCTTTTCCTCCATTCAAATACTATCCACTGACAACTTTGGAATTCCTTAGTGGGATGGACAAGGATAAGGTATGCTACCTTTTGTAGCCATAAGCATACTATTCATCAGCAACATTCAAATTAGATGTTATACCTCAGATAATCTTTTCCATAGTTTCCTGCACACTGTGTGTAGGTAACAACCCCCCCCCCCATCAGTCTACTTCTGCATAGAAACTATACAGGCCAAGCTTCTTCCATGCCTCCTCAGAAGTCCAGCAAGCCTGGATCATCTGTTTTTTAGCTGGATTTATCTGCTTCTCGCCCCATCTAGGTTGCCAGTTCCTTGTGAGTGCAGAGATTATGTTTTATTCATGTTTGTATCATCAGACCCTAGGATAGGGTTTAACACTTTACATATCTGTTGGACAAATGGATGAATGAATTTCAGGTCTGAGCACAACTCTGACCTCTAGTCCCGCACTACTCTAACAATCCATAGCCTTGCATAGGTACAACCCTTTACCAAAACCTCTTCCTCCTAACATTGCCAAACAACCAGCCAAAAGTTCTATTGCCCAGACAGTCACTGGATCTGGGGCTGATCCAGTGGGACTAGAAGAAAATAGTGTCAGTGTAGGCCCTAACCAATACCAGATTCCATCCCCAAATCCCAGAGACAAGTAGTGCAGTTTACTTATCCAGAACTTAATCTTTAACAAGAAGAAAAATATATCTCAAGGTCATTCTTACACTAGGCTGTTTCCACTACCCTCTTCAAATTGGAATCTAGAAAGGACACCCAGGAACAGATCATTTTGTGGTGACTGGAGAAAAGACAAAAGACACTTCTCTGAAGTTCTTTAGTGTTTTTCTGTGAGTCCTGGGGCTTGAACTCAGGGCTTAGGTGCTGTCCCTGATCCTCTTTGTACTCAAGGTTAGTGCTTTACCACTTGAGCCACAGTGCTACTTCCAGCTTTTTCTCAGTAGAGATGATACAGTCTCATGGACTTTGCTGCCTGGACTGGCTTTGAACTGTGATCCTCACATCTCAGCCTCCTGGTAGCTAGGATTACAGGGTGTAAGCCCCTGGCACCCAGAACCCCTCTCTAGTCTTAAAGATAGGCTCTACATCATCTGTGACTAGCATAGAACAGGACAGAGTTGGATTCTTTAATTTCCATTTTCTTTTAATATTTTTTCAAAGCCAGTAAGCAACTACAGAGACCATTTAAAAGTAGACAAATCTAAAAAAAAACGGGAGAGATGAGAGATGAAAAAGATACAGCCTTCACTCCATAATAAATGCAAGTTCTATCAGTACCCTCTAAGTAACAAGACATGGAGGATCAGCTCTCCATGGGGTCAAGGGTGCTCTTCATTATTGTGCAAGGGGACCAAATAGCACTTCAATAAGATTAGATCAAATGGACTGGATACAGGAACTGGTGAGATCAAGGTCTATAACCTGGGCTGTGCTCTTTGGTGGAGGTTGCTGCCTCTTAACCTCCTCAACACTGTGCCGGATCCCATAGCCGAAGTAGATAGTAAAACCTAGTGGGGAAAGGTAGTTGTGAGATGGGAGGTAATGACCTTCAGGAAAGGTTTACCAGACCTTTTACTGGAGGTCAATAAAGAAAGGTGTTGGAATAAGGCATACAACAGGCTTATTCTTCCCAACTGTGTACATACCAATCAGCATCCAGACCCCAAATCGGGCCCAGGTACCAGCAGACATCTGCATCATAAGGTAAACATTGACAAAGATGCTCACTAGTGGGAGGAAAGGCACAACAGGTACCTGAAAACAAAGGAAAATCTTCATTGCGTATACCCGAGTGGCCCATCTCATCCAGGCGAGAAAAAAAAGGCAGAATTCAATGCCTACTCATACTGTTTCAGTGCTATTCTTTTATTATAACTCATATGGGACTCTCCAAATATACTTTGGGTAAACTGATATGGAAAGCAACTAAAAAGGGTCAAGTAAAGAAGAAGTCTTGGGCTGGGCACTGGTGGCTCACACTTGCTATCCTAACTATTCAAGAGGCTGAGATCTCAGGATCATGGTACAATACCATCCAGGATAGGAAAGTCCATGAGATTTATCTCCAATTACCTGGCAAAAGGCAGAAGTGGAGCTGTGGCTCAAGTGGTTAAGAGCATCAGCCTTGAGCCCCAGGACAGGCACACAAAAAAAAGACATCTTGGCCTAGTTACCTCTTATCTTCCCTTTTGATCCAATTAAAAAATATCTATATACTTTATTAGATCACAGGAGTTTGGAGCCTATTATTCCAAGACAGGTTGGTAGGAGGAAAGAGATACCATTTACCTTAAAGTGAAGAGGAGCAGGGTTCTGTGGCTGTCTCCAGACAACCCCAGTGATTCCAGTAATGAGCAACAGGAGCAGCACAACCACGGTGGCCCACACTGGTTCTCCAGAAAGTAATGGAACTGTCCACTGATTCAGCACCAGGCAAAGAATAGTCAGCAGTAGAGCTTCAGTAGTCAAGTTAAGAGACATCAAAACATGAGATGAGAACAACATCCTAAGGTATCAGGTAGCCCATTCCTTTGGAGGTCACATTCTCTCTGGGCCTTCCCTCAACCATCAAATGCCACCACACATGTTCACCCCATCTGGCTGACCTCCTGAAAGCCACCCCCAAAGAAAGCTGTCACTGCTCACCAAGCAGTGAAGAACAAACATAGACAATTTGGCCAGTGAGTGGAGTCGGAACAGAGTTAATTGGGCAAAATAGATCCTGGAGGGTCAGCTTCTCTGCTTCACTTGTCTGCTCCTCCTGAATCTCTATTTCCTCTTCTTCTGTCTTTATCTTCTGGTCTGGTTGATATCTGTGGTATAAGTAAGAAAAGATGGCAGTTCTAAGAATAACATTTAACTATCATCTTTCTCCTAGGCAATTTCCTCATCAGCATTAGTGGTGGAAACTCTTTGGGATGGAAAGGGATACTTGAATTCCTCAAGTTATTGACAAAATGGAGGAGGGAGAGGAGTAGTACATCCTCATCAATCCTCACCCAAGAATAACAACACAAATCAAAACGACCTCACAGCTGGGCGCCGGTGGCTCATGCCTGTAATCCTAGCTACTCAGGAGGCTAAGATCTGAGTATCGCAGTTCAAAGCCAGCCGGGCAGGAAAGTCATTAGACTTTTCAATAAACCATTCAGAAAACTGAAAAGTGGCAGTGTGGCTCAAGTGGTAGAGCACTAGCCTTGAGCTGAAGAGCTGAGGGACAGCACCCAGGCCCAGAGTTCAAGCCCCATGAACAACAAGAAACAAACAAACAAACAAAATCTTACATAGAGCCAGGAGATCTCACCTGAGGATGAGAACACAAATGGATACCAGAGAGTAAGCCAGCAGGGTTCCAATTGACATGAGGTCTACAAGATCGGTGAGTTTAAAGAGGAATGCCATGAACGCTTCAATTGGTGGGCAGAAAACCAAAAGAGAAAGAAAGAAATAACTAACCAAGTTAAAGGAATTCATGAAACCACAAAGAGGACTTTTTTTTTTTTTTACCTGCAATAATGCCAGAAACCACAGTGGCCAAGATGGGTGTGTATGTACCACTGTGGACCCGAGCAAGGACATGGAACAGAAGACCATCCTCGGCCATTGCGTAGATCACCCGAGGCATAGGGAACATTGACCCCAAGAGGCTGCAGGAGAGAATGGACAGCCTGGTATGAGTTGACTTGAGGGATATCTTTCCAACCCTACACATTTTAGGTGTCTCCATGATCCCTCCACGACCCTTACAAGGTACATTTTATTGCCTACTATGAAATGATCTTACTCTGAGATCCTGGCCTAGGAGGAGCTCAAACCATTTGTCACTGACCTAGTAGAAAGAGCACAGAGGGAGCCAACAGCCACAAGATAACGGGCAGGAGCCCATCCCACATGGAGGAACGCCTCAGGCATAGGGCTTTCAGGCTGAAGCTGATAGTAAGGCATCAGGAGGGTGAGAGCTGAAGACACACCAAAATAGGCCAAAAAGCACACCGAGAGGGAGATCACGATGCCCATGGGGATGGAACGCTGTGGGTTCCGAGCTTCTTCTCCTGAACAAAAGGGCACAGCACAAAACTTCTGAACCAGGGAAGCAGATTGCTCCCCTGTTACCCCCAATCTGCATGAAGTCTGAGCACCCAAGCCCCAGACAGAAGAGACAGTGTTACCTGTGGTGGCAATACAGTCAAAACCAACAAATGCATAGAAACAGGTAGCCGCTCCACGAAGAATCCCTTCAACACCAAAAGGCATGAATCCTCCAGCGCCCAGAGGGCCCAAGCTAGAGTGGGAAAGAGAATGGACAAGGTAAGGATATGTTGAGTCAACCCCTTACCTTTTCTGTAATGCCAAAGTACTTTTCTAGGTCTTCAATGCCCAACCAACCATTATTTCCCACCCCTTTCTGAATCCCTCTACTTTCCATTGTGTCAGCTCCCAATGACACTACTAACCTAGTAGTGTCATTGAGTCCAGCCTTCGTCAATGCATAGTCCTCTCCTGTGAGTTTCCAGTTTTGCAGGTTTCCCTTAATGAAGCCAGAGATGATGACAAAGCCGAGAACCAAAAGATTCACTCCTGTGAACACTTTGGTCACAAGGGCAGACTCACTAGCCCCTAGAGCCAGCAATCCTGTGGGGAAAATTCATTCAGGACCATGAGAAAGAGAATCCTCACTCCATGCTACCTTTTTCTACCTCTTTCTATGACAGGCTCTTTCCTTCCCAGGGTGTCTACCTCTTTTCCATCACTACCTCCATCACACCCTTCACAGACCCAGGCCTTTCCCATCATTCTGCCCTACCCCTGGCCTCACCAGTAAGCAGCAACACAAGGCCCATAGCAAAGAAGTCTGGATATTCTGCAAGGACATTGGGCACATGTAGTGCAATGGTCCCTTTCAATGTCTGGGAGATGTAGTTCCCAACCAAGTTGTCAAAAGTAGAACTCCAGGCCCGGGCCACACTGGCTGTACCTGATAAAGCAGAGGAGAAAATGTGGTTGGGGTCAAGTTTCCTCCCTTCCCCACACCAATCCCATATAAATCCCTGCCATTGTCACCTATTTTTATCTTTTCTTTTTCATCATCATCTTCTTCTTCTTCCTTTTGTTTTTATTGTCAGTCATGAGGATTGAGGTCTAAGCCTGAGCACTGTCTCTAATAGGCTGTTTTGCTCAAGGCTACCACTCTACCACTTTAAGCCACAGCGCACTTCCTGTTTTCTGGTGGTTAATTGAAGATAAACTCTCACAGACTCTCCTACCTGGGCTGGCTTTGAACCATGAGCCTTAGATCTCAGTTTCCTGAGTAACTAGAATCACAGGTGTGAGGCACCAGCACCTGCTTGTTTTTTTTTTAAAGAGTCTCATTATGTAGCCCAAACTGACCCGGAACTCTCAATCCACTTACCTCAGCTTCCTGACTTCTTGGACTACAGCATGCACCACCATATCCAGCTCCACCAAAACCAAAGCCAGTCATTTAATGAAGCCAACCCAGACAGAGATGAGTAGAATAAATAATTTCTCCACACCTTCAACTCTCCTAGACTCCCACAAATATGTACATTTAGGAGTACTGAAGTCATGATATTAAGAAGAAAGAATATTTAGCTTTACCCTTCAATCCAGATTTCCTGGCCCCAAACCACTCCCCTCCTTCCCAGCTGACTGTGGCCCCCCACCATCTCACCGAGGACATAGGAGAGGATAAGGTTCCAGCCAGTAGTGAAGGCCCAGAGTTCACCCACAGTGACATAGCTGTAGAGATATGCAGAACCAGAATGGGGCACCCGGGCACCAAACTCAGCATAGCACAGCCCTGCCAACAAGGAGGACAGGGCGGCCACCAAAAAGCAGATCACAATGGAAGGTCCTGCTTTATCTTTGGCGACCCCACCAGCCAAGACATACACGCCTGCACCTAGTGTGCTGCCCACACCCAGGGCCACCAAGTCCAGAGTGCTCAGGCATCGGGCAAGGCGAGTCTCGGTCATGCTTGGATCCAATATGCGTCTCCGCATCAGCTTCTGACCAAATCTGCGAAGAGCCTGACACTTCATTGTAGTTTGTAATGGAAGAGGATGCTGAAAAACAAGACCAAAAAAAAAAGCCCTTCAATAGGGCTCATTATCCCTAAGCTCTAAAAGTGAATTACAAAACCCACTCCACCCAGAAAAAGAATGGAGGGGAGAGGGGAGAGGAGAATTACATGGACAAAAGCAAGCTCCTTTACCTCCAAACTGTTTTTCACCGGCAAGTAGAAATGATGCAAGTAGGGATTACAATACCTCGAAAGGTTTTTGGAAGGGCTAATTTCAGCAGAGGTATGTGAAATTCCCCTGTAGTAGTGCAGTGGTGGGTACCTAGTAAGTTTTAAGACAATATTAGATTTATTCTTTCTTTGGCCAGGAACCTATAGAATTTATCCTAGACCACAACCCAGGAACTCTAAAATCTAGTATCTGTTCCCTAGCCTGTGACTCCTTAGGAATTCAAGCAGAGCTCAACTAAGGAGAGGCCAGCAACTCTGGAAGAACCCCCTTCTCACGCCCAACACCCACGATCTTTTCAGTGCACGTCCCCTGAACGAGAGACATGGCTCTCAGATCGCCCAGGGGAGGGAACCGACGTCCGCTGCAGATTAAAAGTGACCCACCAGTTCAATTATTTCCCTCCTCAGCAAACCCGCACCGCTCAGCGGGTGCTGCCTTCGTAAAAGGGAGTAAGCAAATGTCCCCCCATTTCCTCTCGCCCCTCTAGTCTGACCTGTAATCATCAATTGTGAGGCGGAGCTTCTACATCTAAGATTTGGGAGACGCTCCCTGAGCAGGGCCCCAGAGCCCTTCTCTGCACGAGATGGCTCACACTTCCCTCTCGTAAAGGTGAGGGAAGACCCCCACCCCACCCCCGCCCTCGACTCAGCTCTCAGTATTTTTTTTCCTGTTTCCATCTAGAAACAGGCTGGAGCTGGGGTGGAGATGGAAGCCCTGGCTTCCGGGGCTGGGGTCTCGCCAGCAACAGGTCATTGCCAGGTTGATGCAATTGCAAGCGATGGTTGCAGGAAAACCCTAAGTATGCCAGGACACACCCCGTCTCCCCCTCCAACACACGTGTCGGCCCCCGAAGGCTTACCAGAGAGCTGTGGCAAACCCAGGGAGTGAAGCAGCTCGGACTGGGTTTGGCGAGGCTGACTTAAACCGAGTTGGGTTGGGGATGCTGAGTTCGGCTGCTCGGGCTTCAATACTGCTGCTTGGGGTCGTTGCGCGCCAATCGCCCCTTATATGCACCAGGAGGCGGAGCCAATAACGTCATGGGATCCCACCCCCTGTCCTCTTCCCTACACATAACACACATCACACAACACAAAACACACGCGCGCGCGCACACACACACACGCACACACACACACGCACACACTTCGGCTTTGTAATAAGAAATGCGTGGACCCCGAGACTGTCTCCCACCCGCAACAGCAAACCTGGTATGTGGAGGAGCGAGAAACGGACAAGGCACAGCCTTTACCAATTTGCCTTGTTCGTTGTCTGAACAGGACAAAAAAGAGCTCTCTGGCCAGATGACCACCCCCTCCTCGGGATTTTTTGTACCTTCGTACCAAATTAGAATCAGTGATTTGTGGGGGGGGGGGGGCTTTAGGAAGGGAAAACAGTGGATAAAGGGGATTAGATATCTGCCTAATGGGTGGAAGGGACAAATGGCACCTAGAGTCTCCATCTCACACATCCTCAGCCTTCCTTAGCTTACTTCGCTCCAGGAGGGACCCCCACCCTCCCATTAAATCTTTTCCAATGCTGATAGCAGTTAGCCAAGAGCAATGGGAAATGCAAAGGGGCCTTAACCATTGGAGAGAGAGATAAACAGTAGCCAGGGCGAAACAAAGGCCCTCTCTGGACAACAAGCAAAGCTTGGAAAAGTTCAAACCTGTATGTCCTCATACATTGCATGCGATGTACTAGACAAACAGAGCATGAAGGAGCGCTAGAGTTCATGAGGTTATCCCCACACACACATTAAGTATTCTTTTTAAAAAGTAATCTTAGTTTTAATTATGAAGAAAATATCTTGTGATCCTACCCTTCTGACTGCTTACTTCATCACTACTCTTGGCTTGTTAAATAAAGTTAATAATGGCAAGGAGGCTCTAATATCAGGACTGACTCTATGCAGAGCAGTCCTTCAGGACCACTGGGGTGCAGATCCTGTAGTCTGAGTCATCCATTGCTCACAGAGCTCCTGCACCTAAAATGGAGGATAAGATTACAGGGGCTCTGGGAGGAGGGGGAAAGTGTTGGAATTAAGTTGGAAAACTTAAGGTGACCAGCCTATGTAGCCACCAAGGTCATAGAATCTCACAAGATGAGCCTTTTGTTTTGTTTTCTTTAATGCTGGTACAGGGCTTGAACTCAGAGTCCCATAGTCTCACTTTTTTCATTCAAGGCTGGCACTCTACCACTTGAACCACACCTCTACTTCTGGCTACTTGCTGGTTAATTGGAAATAACAGTCTCAAGAATTTGACTGCCAGGGTTGGTTCTACTTCTCAGATCTCAGTCTCTTGAGTAGCTAGGATTTTCTTTTTTTTTTTTTTTATCTTGGGTCCGGTCGTGGGGCCTGAACTCTGGGCCTGGGCGCTGTCCCTCAGCTCTTCAGCTCAAGGCTAGCGCTCTACCACTTGAGCCACAGTGCCACCTCCGGCTTTTTTTTTGCTTATGTGGTGCTGAGGAATTGAACCCAGGGCTCATGCATGCAAGGCAAGTGCTCTACCACTGAGCCACCTTCCCAGCCCCAGTAGCTAGGATTTATAGGTGTAACATACCTGTGCCCAGCTACAAAACATTTGTTGTTTTGCTTTGTTTTTATTAGTATTCCACTCATCTGAGGATTAATAGGCTTCATTCTAACCAAAAATAGATCAATAAATAATTCTAAAATGATAGATCTTTAACTTCCAAAACAATAGATCTTTAAATTTAGTACTTAGAACAGTAAGCCATGTCCTAAAGATCAAATGTAACTCAGTAAACCTCCATTTTCCCTGGAACAAGGATTCTGCCCCATTGGCTGGTTCTCAGGAGGGTCTTAATGCTTCGGAGCTTTCCTCCCCCACAGCCACTTCACAGCAATCTAGGAATCCTTGAATACAGGAAAGGCTGAACCACCTGCTAGGCTTTAATGACTTGCCCGGATGAGGCAGACCAAACCTGAGATAATAGACTATCTGACTGCCAACATTCACTTCCAAACCAGCTGAACCAGCTGTGATATATGTTCATTATTTGGACCATTTTAACTATACATAACTTCTCACCTCCTTTGCTCAATTCTGAGGCTTGCTTGAAATCACCTCATGGAGACTGCAGTTGATTGTGGTAAATTACCAGTAACACAAGGGCTACACCAACATTGTGACTCTGCTCTAGGCTAGCACTCTACCTCTTGAACCATATCTCCAACAACCCCCCTGCTCAGTTCTCACCCTCAACTGATGTGTTTATGATGCATACAGCAAAATAGATAATGATTTCATATCACTTGTACACCAATCATTAATCTCATCTACATCTCTAGATCCTGATGTCTCCATAGTGTATCTTCTAGCAATATTAAATTTGCAATTCTAACAATGCTAAAATATTGGAAGATGGACACTACACTCTTTTTAAAAGAAAATACGGCTGGACGCTGGTAGCTCACACCTGTAATCCTAGCTACTCAGGAGCCTGATATCTGAGGATCAAGGTTCAAAGCTGGCCTGGGCAGAAAAGTCCATAAGACTCTTATCTCCAATTAATCACAGAAAAAGCCAGAAATTATGCTGTCGCTCAAATGATAAAGTGTTAGCGTTGAGCAAAAAAGAGCCCAGGAACATCACCCAGACCAGGAGTTCAAGCCCCAGTCTGGCAAAAAAAAAAAGGGGGGGCAGGGGTGGAAAGAGAAAATGCAGTGCTAAGGATGGCACTTTTGGCTTTTCATTTGCTAAAGCTGTATCACTTAGCAGCCCCATGCCTTCAGGTCCATTTTACTGAGGACTAAGCTGGGGTCCAGAGAAATTACTTGTCTGATACCACACCATAATTCTAGCTGATCAACTTTCTGGATAAAATCTAACCTGATAAAATCTTCCCTGTTGAATTTCAAAGACACTTCCAATAGGTATTATGCCTCATTTAAATGCACAAGAAGGGAAGGCAGGCAGCTAGCAAAGACAAACCAGAAAGAGCACATACCACAAGTTAGGTCCTTTCAGACTAAGAGTTACATGGAGAATAGAAAGGAGTGGAACAATTTAGAAATGATCACACTAGGGCAGGGATATAGCTCAGTGGCAAAACACTTGCCTAGGAATTGCAATATCCAGGGTTTGATTCCCTAGTATTATAAAATGGGGGGAGGAGTAAAAAAAAAAAGAAATGATCATACTTGTCAGACCCATTGTGCATGTGGTCCAATCAGGTCTTATGCATGCAAGGGTCAAATAAGTTGTGAAGGTATGGTTCTCTTCTACCTGATATCTTGGATTAAGGATGCACCCAAAGGTCCTTGTTTATTTTACCAATACACAAAGAATATGCTATCTGTGAATTTAATTCTAAATCCTTTTAGAAGTAACTGGTGTTTTCAACTAGCTGAGGCTTCACCTAGGCTTAAAGTAGACATTGGACTAGGGTATAACTCAGTGGTAGAGCACTTATCTTGCATGTGTGAGGTTCTGGGTTTGAATCCCACCACTGCAAATCAAGGTTTATATTTATTGAGCACTGACTATGTATAATAGCTAATATAACAATGAAGTACTTCCAAAGGAAAACGAAAAATCCTTGTCCTCCTCATCTTAATAATCTAAAGAAATTAAACATCTATAACATAATTCAAATGAGAAATTCAAATGAGAAATTAGGAGTACAGTGTTTGGAATTATGCTTTGGTTAAATTGCCACCTCAGCCACTGTGGTCTCAAGCAGATTACCAACATCTCTGGATTTAACAGATATATTTCACAAAGCTGATGTGATACATAAGTGAGATTATGAAATCAAGTCTCCTTGCCTGATCCATGGAAAGTATTCAATAACAATTTAATACAAATTCTGAATATATATTAGTGTATATAATGATTTAACTGCTTATATTTGAACTACTGATAATATAAATGTTCAAGACAAGATGACAGTACAGATTGGAATGAATAGAGAAGGCCTCTTCATTTGTAAGGGGTTGAGAAGGAAGAGTGGTAGAGACATATCTGAGCCTTGAAGAATGTGGGATGGCTCAGTTTTGGA